CACTGCGCCACCCCGCTCCCGTTCGAGCTGATCCGAATCACCAAGTTAAGCTTGTATAGATGTCGACCTCTATGACAGCCAGAAATGCCCGACAGCTTTCAAATGGAGACACGGTTCCGGACCTAGTTAACTCCAAGCGAATGCCTCCCACCAATCAGGTCTTCTCCACAGGATGAGGGCAACGGACCCACATTTTTAAACCTGCTTCGCGTTTTTGGTACATATGTCACGCAATTACTTGCGAGTAGTGTGGGATTGTTTAATTTTCGTTTGATTGACTGTCCTCTTGGACTCCACGTTTCACGCGCAAACCTCAGGTCATCCGACCAACCTGCACTCGGAAGCACCAGACTCGAGTTTCGCTCTTGTTAGAGCTCATCAGTGGTGCATATCCTCCGCCACACCCAGGGTTTGAACCCGGGCCCTCCCATCTCGAAGGCGTGTGTGTTACCACTGCGCCACCCCGCTCCCGTTCGAGCTGATCCGAATCACCAAGTTAAGCTTGTATAGATGTCGACCTCTATGACAGCCAGAAATGCCCGACAGCTTTCAAATGGAGACACGGTTCCGGACCTAGTTAACTCCAAGCGAATGCCTCCCACCAATCAGGTCTTCTCCACAGGATGAGGGCAACGGACCCACATTTTTAAACCTGCTTCGCGTTTTTGGTACATATGTCACGCAATTACTTGCGAGTAGTGTGGGATTGTTTAATTTTCGTTTGATTGACTGTCCTCTTGGACTCCACGTTTCACGCGCAAACCTCAGGTCATCCGACCAACCTGCACTCGGAAGCACCAGACTCGAGTTTCGCTCTTGTTAGAGCTCATCAGTGGTGCATATCCTCCGCCACACCCAGGGTTTGAACCCGGGCCCTCCCATCTCGAAGGCGTGTGTGTTACCACTGCGCCACCCCGCTCCCGTTCGAGCTGATCCGAATCACCAAGTTAAGCTTGTATAGATGTCGACCTCTATGACAGCCAGAAATGCCCGACAGCTTTCAAATGGAGACACGGTTCCGGACCTAGTTAACTCCAAGCGAATGCCTCCCACCAATCAGGTCTTCTCCACAGGATGAGGGCAACGGACCCACATTTTTAAACCTGCTTCGCGTTTTTGGTACATATGTCACGCAATTACTTGCGAGTAGTGTGGGATTGTTTAATTTTCGTTTGATTGACTGTCCTCTTGGACTCCACGTTTCACGCGCAAACCTCAGGTCATCCGACCAACCTGCACTCGGAAGCACCAGACTCGAGTTTCGCTCTTGTTAGAGCTCATCAGTGGTGCATATCCTCCGCCACACCCAGGGTTTGAACCCGGGCCCTCCCATCTCGAAGGCGTGTGTGTTACCACTGCGCCACCCCGCTCCCGTTCGAGCTGATCCGAATCACCAAGTTAAGCTTGTATAGATGTCGACCTCTATGACAGCCAGAAATGCCCGACAGCTTTCAAATGGAGACACGGTTCCGGACCTAGTTAACTCCAAGCGAATGCCTCCCACCAATCAGGTCTTCTCCACAGGATGAGGGCAACGGACCCACATTTTTAAACCTGCTTCGCGTTTTTGGTACATATGTCACGCAATTACTTGCGAGTAGTGTGGGATTGTTTAATTTTCGTTTGATTGACTGTCCTCTTGGACTCCACGTTTCACGCGCAAACCTCAGGTCATCCGACCAACCTGCACTCGGAAGCACCAGACTCGAGTTTCGCTCTTGTTAGAGCTCATCAGTGGTGCATATCCTCCGCCACACCCAGGGTTTGAACCCGGGCCCTCCCATCTCGAAGGCGTGTGTGTTACCACTGCGCCACCCCGCTCCCGTTCGAGCTGATCCGAATCACCAAGTTAAGCTTGTATAGATGTCGACCTCTATGACAGCCAGAAATGCCCGACAGCTTTCAAATGGAGACACGGTTCCGGACCTAGTTAACTCCAAGCGAATGCCTCCCACCAATCAGGTCTTCTCCACAGGATGAGGGCAACGGACCCACATTTTTAAACCTGCTTCGCGTTTTTGGTACATATGTCACGCAATTACTTGCGAGTAGTGTGGGATTGTTTAATTTTCGTTTGATTGACTGTCCTCTTGGACTCCACGTTTCACGCGCAAACCTCAGGTCATCCGACCAACCTGCACTCGGAAGCACCAGACTCGAGTTTCGCTCTTGTTAGAGCTCATCAGTGGTGCATATCCTCCGCCACACCCAGGGTTTGAACCCGGGCCCTCCCATCTCGAAGGCGTGTGTGTTACCACTGCGCCACCCCGCTCCACTGCGCCACCCCGCTCCCGTTCGAGCTGATCCGAATCACCAAGTTAAGCTTGTATAGATGTCGACCTCTATGACAGCCAGAAATGCCCGACAGCTTTCAAATGGAGACACGGTTCCGGACCTAGTTAACTCCAAGCGAATGCCTCCCACCAATCAGGTCTTCTCCACAGGATGAGGGCAACGGACCCACATTTTTAAACCTGCTTCGCGTTTTTGGTACATATGT